ACACACAAAAAATAAATACCACAAACTCTATTAAATATTATTCAGCGCTACTTAAATTGGCATCATTAAAAGCTATATACCATTAACCACTAATTCAGCTGTGTAATTTACAGCTGCAGCATAATTTTTCGCTTTACAACTGTATTTTCCGGCATGTCTAGCATTTACATTGTCTATGGTCAACATACTGGTACGTTTACCACCCTTCACAACTGTTATACCCGAGTACGAGCTTATAGCATAGTCATTGAACAACCATTCGATATCAATGGGTAAATCACCAGAAGATATGAGGCAAGTTATCGAAACAGAGTCTTCAACATTCGCCGGTTCCTCACCGAAGTCGAAGGGCGTAATTTTAGGAGGCACTTATGTATAAAAAATGCGGGATATGAAGAAAATAAATATAAATTCTTTGTAAATAATTAAGTTGTAAGCAAATACAAATAAAAAATACTATTAAGATGAATATTAAGGAATTTTTTTTAAATAACCGTTAACAATCAACTGTGCTGAGTACTCATCCGTAGCGGCTTTATTACGCGCTTTACAGCTATAGTTTCCCGCATGTCCTGCATGCACTGAGTCGATGCTGAGCAAACTAATGCGCTTACCGCCGCGCATAACATTAACACCCGCAAAATAATTTACCGGTTCGCCATTAAAGAGCCATTCTATATCGATTGGCATATCTCCAGAAGAAATTAAACAATTTACCGAAACTGAGTCCTCAAAGTTTGCAGGTTTGTCACCAAAATCGAATGGCACAATTTTTGGTGGTGCTGAATAAATTTTTTTGTAAATAAAAATGCTCTTAGTTTGTTAAATTTTTTTAAAGAGAATAGTCACTAACTTCATATGTTAGCAATATCTTTTGTAAGCACTAATTTTCAGTTCTTTTATTGCGTTCAGTTAATTATTTAAATGTAAAACAGCTCTCATTCTGCAACAGTTTTCAAACAAACATGTCAACACCCCTCTACATTTATGAAAAGGATCTATTGTAAATCAAAAACCACACAAAAATTACAGCAAACGTAACATAAAATAAATTCAGCGCTTAAAAGGTAAGTGGAAAATTAAAAAACTACCATTAACAATCAATTCCGCTGTATACTCCACAGCAGCTGCATCATTGCGCGCTTTGCATGTATAGTTGCCCGCATGGCCGGCATGTACGGAGTCTATGGTCAATATGCTAGCCTTTTTGCCACCCTTCACTATAGATACCCCAGTATAAATGTTTATTGGCTGGCCATTAAAGAGCCAAGTGATATCCATTGGTAAATCACCCAAATATATGAGACAATTTACGGAGACTGATTCTTCAAAATTCACCGCGTGATCGCCAAAATCGAAATGTGCAATTTTTGGGGGAACTAAAAGTAAGTGTTGTGATTGAGGAATTGTGGAAAAATTAATGAAAAAAATACAATATTAAAGATAGGTAAGAATTGTATCATCTTAAATTACTAAATGCAAAACAAATACCGTTCACCACCAATTCAGCGGTATAATTTACGGATGTTGCCTTATTGGCGGCCACACATGTATAGTTTCCAGCATGATGACCACGCACATAATCGATGGAGAGAGCGCTTATCTTTTTCCCTAATTTCACCATTGAAACGTCGTAGACATTGTCATTGATTTGACGACCATTAAAGAGCCAAGCAAAGCTTACAGGAAAATCACCAGAAGTTACCAAGCATTGTACACTAGCAGATTCGCCAAAATTCGAGGGTTCTTCGCCGAAATCAAAATTTGCGATTTTAGGCGGCACTTAAAAGGGGAATGGTGGGAGGGTTAAGTCTAGGAATAGGTATAAACAATATTTTTAAAAAAGTAAACTTAAATATTTATATTATACAAATTGTATATTGAGCACATTCCGCACCGTTAACACGCAATTCAGCGGTGTGATTAACGCGACCAGCACGATTTTCAGCTATGCAGCTATAATTTCCCGTATGTTTGGCCGACACAGATTCAATTGTGAGTTCACTAATGCGTTTACCACGTTTCGTCGTAATAATTTCAAGATAATCCTCGAATGGTTTTCCATTCAGAGTCCATGTAATGCGAACTGGTAAATCCCCACCGGCAATGGTACACTGTATATTAACAAATTCACCGAAACTCATCGATTCTTCGCTAAATGAAAATGGGCTGATTTTTGGTGATACTGAGCAAATAAGTAATCAGTAAAAAATTTAATAAAGCAACGTCATACAGATTTAAGTGTTCTACTTCTAGATAAGGTTTGAATTCTGCGTACTTTTCAGCGCTTTTCAACCATAATTTGTATCAAAATCAGCTTTTGCAACATATAACTTATCATTAAAAATAACTATTCTGGGCTATTCAGCGTCATTTCTTCGAACTTTTTTTGTATTTAGTAAATAAAATTTGTGCCAAAGAGGTTCAAAAATTATTAAATAAGGATTTCCATCTCATTGCATTTCCTTAAAAAAAATTCATATGTATTCAGCACACAACAAATAATATCACCAGTTATACAGCAAATGTGTATTGGGATAGGATTAAGCAAATTTAAAATACTATATCTAACATGACTTGCCACGAATTAAACGTTCGCGCTTTAAAAATTTTCGTTCACACAAACCATTCACAATCAATTCAGCTGAATGTTCGGCACGACCGGCTGAATTGCTTGCAATGCAAGTATAATTGCCCGCATGTTTCGCCTCGATTGCATCGATCATTAAATTATGTATACGTTGGCCACGTTTCTCAGTCAAAATCTCCAGTTCCGGCAATAACGGGTGTCTGTTCAAAGTCCATATTACAGAGATGGGTAGATCACCACCCGAAATGGTGCAATGTACTGAAACAGGCTCGCCAAAGTTCATGGGTTCATCACCAAACGAAAAGGGTGTAATTTTTGGTGGTACTTAGGGCAACAATTTCGGGAAAGGAAAATAACAAAAAAAAAAAAGAAGAGAAAACAAAAAATGTTATATCAAACTTTTACACCAACCATTAACAACTAAGCGAGCTGTATGCGCGGTTATGCCAGCTTTATTTTGAGCATGACACGAATAAAAGCCGGCATGATGCGCAGCAACTGATTCAATAGATAAAACATTGATACGCTTGCCAATACGCGAAAAGGATATATCGTGGTATCTATCGATGGTGGCGTTATTTAGCAGCCAGGTAACATTGATGGGTAGATCACCACCGAGTATGGTGCACTGTATGGAAGCAGGTTCGCCGTAGTTGAGAGGCTCTTCACCAAAATCGAATGGTGCTATTTTCGGAGCGACTTTTCGTACAAAAATAAACAAAATATTTATAAGCTCATACTTATATAAACTTAACGTTTAAATAAACATATTTTGCCCGACAAAAAATTCGTTGTATGTATGCAGGGACAGTTCAGCACCCTTTTTAATAAGTTAGTGCAACCAATATTTCACGAAATTCTTAATATAGTAACAACCGATACACTGGACGACTGCTGATACAATTCAGCGCAGCCGAAACACAATTTTTGGTTATAACTTAAACAATACGCAAGTGGGGAGTTTCGTGAATTTAACAAAAGAAAAAATTGTAAAAATCAAAATTATCACATCCGATATAGTTCTGCTTTCTTAATAGATAAAAAACAAACCGTTCACTATCAAACGCGCTGCATGCTCTGTAATGCCGGCTTTATTATGCGCGCGACATGAATAGTTTCCCGCATGATGAGCCGCGACGGCTTCGATGGTCAACACATTTACACGTTTACCAATACGCGATAGTGATATGTCATGAAAGCTATCAATAGCAGCATTATTAAGCAACCATGTAACATTGATGGGTAGATCACCGCCCAGTATTGTGCACTGTATGGAGGCGGGTTCACCGTAGTTGAGCGGTTCCTCACCAAAATCGAATGGTGCAATTTTCGGAGCAACTTTTTGCAATGAAATTATATTGTAATACAAATTAAAAAGTTATAATTTATCTTTTACTGAGCTTACAAAGACATTTGAAATTAAGAATTGAGTTTGCAATTAGCGCTTAACACTTACTGAAAGGATAAGGAATAATAGGATCAATACTAAAATGCTTTAACGAAAACCAAAAATAGCTATAAATTTTTCGTATTATATATGCTTAGACAATATATAAAATATTGTAAGCACAGCTTCAATTACATGTGAGTTTTAAAACCAGTTCAAATTTTTCGCGCTGAATACAATTTAAACGCATTCAGCTCAGATTTTACAAGTTTCGTGGTATGTGAATTGGATTGGGTTTAAGGTTCAAATTAAAATAATGTTAAATCTTCTAACAAAGTAACAGTAATTTCAAGCTTTTGCAAACCATTCACAATCAAAGGTGTCGTATACTCTGCCTTTCCCGCCCAATTTTCAGCGATGCAAGTGTAATTTCCTGCATGATCAGCTGTCACACTTTCTATGGCCAGAGCATGTGTATGTCTTGTGAATTTTGTCGTTGCTATATTCAAGTGGGCAGGCAGATGATAATCATTTAGCAACCACTTAACACTCATTGGCCAATCTCCACCGGCAATGGTGCATTGTATAGACGCGGGTTCACCGAAGTTCAAGGGTTCTTCGCCAAATTGAAAAGGTGTTATACGCGGCGGCACTGAAGGATTTTAGTAACAGTGTGTGTACGAGAGAATATAAAATATTTTCTTGGTTGTTTAGTAACATCAAATGGAAAGTTTGGATTATAGAGATATAAATTGTTAGAAAGTGTGGTGGAGTGTAATTTGTTATGTACGCTTTATTACATTTACTCTCAAATATACATAGTGCATATACATAAATAGCCGCTCAACAGATATTATATCTATATAATATTTATATTTATATGTAGAGGAGGATGTTTAGTAATTTTGAGCACCGCAACCGAGCCCACCAATATTAGATCCAATTTTAAAACATCCACAATGATGATAATTAATTTAAAAATAGGCATTGAAGACTTGTTAATTCATATCTATTACTATATACCATTCACGGTAACATTTGTGCTGTATGTCGTTGAGCCAGCCGCATTACTGGCCGTACAAGTATAGGTGCCAGTGTGTGCGGGTGTGGCACGTGGTATCGATAACACACTCGATTTGCTACTAAAACGATTTGTACGCATTATCGGTTGGAGTGTGTCGTATCGCGCGTCACCAGCGACGCGTTCAAAACTCCAGTTGATTTTGATTGGACGATCTCCTTTCTGTATTTGACAAAGCAAATCGATGGAGTCGCCTGTGTTGATTATGTCGTCGTAACTGAAGGGTGTGATTTGTGGAAGGACTAAAGAATAAATTTTCAAAATTTAGAATAAGGGTTTTAAAAGTGATTGAGGTTAATTGGTAATACAGCGAGTATAGTACCTTTTATAACGAAATTCGCTAAATTTCAGTCAAATTCACACAATTTTACTATCTAATTATATTCTTTTAAAACGCATTTGGATCTCCTAGCTACTATAATAGATTAAACATATTTCTGCACTATAAATTTAACAGTTCTGATCTAAACGATATATTTTAAACACATTTTGTAATTTTTGCTACAATCAGTTTAATTCAGCGAAGTATAATTCAGCACTTATTATTTATTCCGTATCATGAACCACGGAATTGGTAAGAATAATTTATTTTTCACTATTAATTTTTTTCTCATTCAGTTTAATTCAGCGATATTCAACTAATTTATATTAAATCAAAATATACGAAATTGGTTATATTCACCAAATTTTCGCTTTCCACCTTAATTCAGCGCAATTAAAGCATTGCTATTATTTTGTTTGCACACTTTATCTTGTTTTTAATGAGTTTATATTTTAATTAAACATACATTCAGCCTAAAACATTTACACATATATTTCAGTTTAAATCTTGTGCTTTCTGAATATTGTGGATGAACGTATAAATTACAACAACGAAAAGGATACTAAACATATATAAAGATTTCAAAATAAATACGTTCAAATGTTTTTGTCTTAAGCAAATACCATTAACCAACAATTCGGCAGTGTAAGCACTCTGGCCCGCTTTATTGCTGGCCACACACGTATAATTGCCCCAATTCGCAGCCTTCACCGATTCCACTGTCAATAAGCTAATGCGATCACCAATCTTGCTAGCCAACACACCCATATGCGAAAACAATGGCAACTCATTGTGGGTCCAACGAATCTTCAGCGGCAAATCACCCTTTGCCACATGACAAGTCAGTTGTACGCTGTCCCCTTCATTTGCCTCAGCATCGAAGTTAAAAGGATGTATAGCAGGTAGTACTACATATGTACAAACATACATAAAAGAGGAAGGATGGGTTGAAAGCCGGCAAGCGATAGTGAATAGGAAGCGTAGGGAAAATACAAATGTTTTATTTTATATACAAAAACATATACATAAATATGAGTATAAACCAATTATGTGAATTAGTAGCAAACAATAATCAATTTTTTTTTATGTTTAATAATTTTTCTTTCAATAACCATTGACTTGTAACTCGGCCTGATAGGAACTCACGCCCGCGCGATTCGTTGCTATACACGCGTAGACACCGCGATGTTCGGCAGCGATATAATCGATATTCAATGTACTCGACTTTGTCGACATGCGACCGATAATAATTTCGTAATCGCCAGTTTTCAACGTTTGATTATTCAGCGTCCATGTAATATTTATGGGTAGATCACCTTTGGTGACCGAACATTGCACACCCAGAGAATCACCAGAATTTGTCGCTTCATCACCAAATGAGAAGGGCATAATTTGTGGTGGCACTGTATGGCAAAAAAGTGAGAGTTTTGTGTGACAGTGTACAAAAGGCAAGGAGACTTTGTTTAAAATAAAAATTTTCCAAAATTAAAAGTAATTTTAAATGTCTACATTAATTGAGCTAGTATTCAGCGCAGCCACCATTCACTAGTAATTCAGCTATTTGCTCTGCGCTGCCCGCCGCATTGTTCGCAATGCATTTATAGGTGCCACGATGATGTCCATTGATGGCATCGATGCTAAGCGAACTTAGTTTTGGTGACATTTTAATAATACGTATTCCGGCGTGTTCATTTGTGATCGGTTGTCCATTTAGCGTCCAGTGGAGTTGTAGTGGTGTATCGCCTTTGAAGACCATACACTGCACAGCGGTGCTATCGCCATAATTTGAGGGTTCCTCGCCAAAACTGAATGGCATGACTTGTGGTGCGACTGATATAAAAGTGCGGTTCATACAAACAAAATACACATTTCATTTTTTTTATATAAAGACATTAAAATAATTATTATAAGAAAACTTTTAATATTTTTAGACCCACTTAGCTTTGAAAACTGAAAAAAAGTTTTTCTTATGTACCTTTTTAATATGAAAACAAAATGGCAAAACAGTTGAGAATTAAAATATATTAACATATTTTATATGCATTAGGCGCACATTTTCAACGATCATGTAACGAATTCAGCAAATGTGCACGCAAAATATGCAAAAGCGTTTTCATATCACTACAGAACTACAAAAAGCCTATTCAGCGTGTATGCGAAACTACAATTAATTACTGCAAATGTTTTCACAAGCAAAAACAAACCGTTGACTTGTAATTCAGCTACGTATTCGCTAGTTCCCGCCTGATTTGTTGCAATACATTTATATGTACCGCGATGCAACGCTGCTAATGAGTCGATATTGAGCGAACTGGTACGTTTATTCAGGCGTATTATAGAAAACCCATTTTCACCATTCACAATAGGCGCCGAATTCAGCGACCAACGTATTTTAATTGGCAAATCGCCTTTGGGTACAACACAATTAACGCTTGCAATTTCACTCATATCAGCAGTATCTTCTCCAAAGGAAAATGGTAACACTTGTGGTGGTACTTCAATTTAAAGAAACGATAAAAGTTAAGCAACAAAAAACACAACAACAAATAAATGTAAAACTAAATATATTTATATATTTTTTTCTATATATGTTTGTTTGCACAAACCATTCACATGCAATTCAGCACTATATTCAGCACTGCCTGCCTTGTTAGATGCAATGCATTTATAAATGCCCCGATGACGCGCTTCTAATGAATCAATATTGAGCGAGCTAGTGCGTGGATTCATACGCGATAACGTAAACCCATGTTCGCCAGTTATAATAGGCGCTGAATTTAAAGTCCAGCGTATTTCCATAGGCAAATCACCTTTCGGTATCATACAAAACACACCAGCAATTTCACCAGTATTAGCTGGCTCCTCACCAAAGTCGAACGGTTGTATTTGGGGTGGCACTTCGCGAAAATTTAAGGATAATGGATAATATGGAATGAATACAAAATAAAATAATAAAAAAACATAATTTCTTAATAGCTCCTTTATATACTAAACCAATAACTAAGAAATATGGAATATTAAAACAAACCGTTCACTTCTAAAACCGCAACATATTCTGCATAACCCGCTGAATTGTTCGCTAAACACTTATATGTGCCGCGGTGCATTGCTTCGAGTGAGTCTACATTCAGAGAACTCGTGCGTTTATTCATTTTGAATATGTTAAAACCATTTTCACCATTTACAATTAGCGCTGAATTCAATGTCCAGTAGATGTCGAGTGGTAAATCCCCTTTTGGTACGACGCAAGTAACACTAGCGACCTCGCCACGATTAAGTGGTTCATCACCAAAACTGAATGGGCTAATCTGTGGAGCAACTATGGGCAGAAAAACACGAAATATGAATTCAGCATGGCTTAATTTGAAAAACTAAGCCGAACAGAACTAGCCAGTTTAGCAACGTCACTGTGTGAGGCTCAAGAACATTTGAAACAAAAAAAATCGTAACTTTAATTAAGTAAATAATGTTTTTCTGAACAATTTCTTTGGGCGCAGTTAAATATACTTGTATACAATATCTGAATTTAATTTTTACTCAGCTCCTTTTATTTTGAAAAGCTACTACTAATATACTACACCAACACCAAACGTATTGAATATGCAGCTCTTTTGTGAATTTATAAATTAGTTGAGTGTAGAAAAAATGTTTCAAAATCAAGCGAGTGAATACTTGATAATTCAGTACAGTTATTTATCGTTGAAAAAGCTTATAGAAGGATTAATATTATGTATGAGTATATATACTAGTAAAATGCCAAAAATTATATTTTTTTTACTAAACGCACCATTAACTTGCAATTCAGCCGCATATTCAGCAAGCCCAGCAAAATTCATAGCTATGCAACGATATATACCGCGATGTTTGGCCTCTAATGAATCAACACTTAAGTAGCTAGTACGCGGATTCAATTTCATAATAGTAAAACCATCGACGCCTGATGTTATAGGCTCATTATTGATGGTCCAATATATATCGAGCGGTAAATCTCCCTTTAGAACTACGCAATTAATGCTGATAATGTCGCCCATATTAACCACTTCGGCGGGAAAACTAAAAGGTAGTACGTGCGGAGGAACTGTGCGAGATTGTGAGTTTAGTTAAATTTATTCAGCAAATTTTAAACAATCCCTTAAAATTTGGAGTTGAATTTTATGTACCGGCTTGAGATATCGAAGGAACTAAAAATATTATCTATTCGTAATATCACCAATATTAACAACCTCAAGAATAGGAGCAGAGGTTGCTCGAAACCCATATCAGTGAATTAAAAAAAGAACTAATAAACAGATCTACTTTTCAACGCCAATTTAGCACAATACTTTTTATCACTCTGTACCTATGATTTATTACAAACTGCACCAACACCAAACTTGTCGATATATTTTTATATTTGCTGGAAGTGATATAGAAGATGTATTTCTAGAAGAATTAAGCGACCCTTCTGTGTAATTCAGCACTTTTATGTAGCAATATATTACTATGTTTACAATATTTGTTAGTAAAATGACGTTAACTTTTTACGGAGTTACAATTTTGTCGTTCACGCACCATTAACCTGCAATTCAGCAGCATATTCAGCAAGTCCAGCTAAATTTACAGCTATGCAACGATAAGTACCACGATGTTTAGCCTCCAATGAGTCAACGCTCATGTAACTGGTACGAGCATTTAATTTCATTATATTGAAACCATCGCTGCCTTTAGCAATCGGTTCGTTATTGAGCGTCCAGAAAATATCGAGCGGCAAATCGCCCTTTAAGATCATACACGTAGCGCTTATCATATCGCCCATATTAACAACCTCAGCGGGAAAACTAAAAGGTAATATGTGTGGTGGAACTGCACAGAAAAAGGATATACAGTATTTTCTCAAAAGGAATTTTGGGGGATCAGGTAAAATTAAGAAAAAAAATTAAATGGTTTTAAGTTTTGTAAGCGCTTATTCAGCGCGTATCTTTGACAAACCATTAACATGCAATTCAGCCGAATATTCTGCAAATCCCGCTTTATTATTCGCAATACACTTATAAACGCCACGATGTTTTGCCTCAAGTGTGTTAATACTCAGTGAACTGGTGCGTGGATTCATGCGCATCAAAGTAAAACCTTCTTCGCCGTTTATAATTGGTGCTGAATTCAAAGTCCAGCGGGTATTCAACGGCAAGTCACCCTTAGTAACCATACACTGTGCGCCAGCCATTTCACCGAAATTCAAAGCCTCATCACCGAAACTGAATTGCATGATTTGAGGTGGAACTGACGGAGTGTAAGGTTGAGGAGTGGAGAAAGAAAATTAAGATTTTGGGTGCAAAATTTACTCAACAAACAAATTTTACAAGCATAACAAAATCCTTTACCACATTTTATGTATATTTAAGACCTATTTTGTACCATTAACTTTCAAATCGGACGCATAAAAGGTTGAACCCGCCTTATTTTCCGCAATGCATTTGAATAATCCACGATGATGTTCCTCAACGGCAGCGATATTCAGCACACTTGTTTTTGGCGATAGCTTCAATATAGTTATGCCCTCCTCCCCATTAATAATGGGTCTTGAGTTCAGTGTCCATTTAATGTTAATTGGTATATCACCCTTTTGAATCATACATTGCACGCCAGCATTTTCACTATTATTTATGGGTTCATCGCCAAAAGAAAATGGCATAATGGAGGGAGGAACTGGTAAAGAGGGAAAACTTTAAGCGTATAAGAAAAATCAATAAAATAAACTACAACATCAACTACAAAAGCAGCTAACACCCAAAACTTTATACCATTAACTTTCAATTCAGCGACGTAAAAGTCGGTGCCGGCCTTATTTTCAGCGATACATTTGAAAAGTCCACGATGCTGTTCCTCAACTGAGGCAATATTCAAAACACTACTTTTTGGCGAGAGCTTAAGTATAGCTAAACCCTCTTCGCCGTTTATAACCGGTCTGGAGTTGAGAGTCCACTTAATCGTAATGGGTACATCACCCTTCTGTATCATACACTGTACGCCGGCGCTCTCGCCAGTGTTGACAGGTTCCTCCGCAAAGGAGAAAGGCACTATGGAGGGAGGAACTGATGGCGGAGGGAGAAAATTATGGCTTGTTAAAACCAAAACAAGAAACAGCAGAAAGAAATGTAAAACTTGCAAAGAAAACAAATGAAAATATTTTCAAATGATTTGTTGAAGGCAACAACTACCATTGACAAGTAACCACGATGCATGTTCAACACTTCCAGCCGCATTGCTCGCCACACAGCTATAATTGCCCGCATGACGCGATCTTACCGATTCTATATTCAACATACTAATACGTTGACCGCTTCGTGTTATCACCACACCGTCGTTGGAACCGAAGAGGCGAAAACCATTAAAACGCCAGAAGATGTCCAAGGGTAGATCACCCTTGGTTACGGCGCAATTTACAGTAGCCATATCCTGTGCATTAACGGGTGCGCCGAAGTCGAAGGTTAAAATTTGTGGTAGGACTATGAAGCGGTAAAAGGGAGTTGAAAACGAAAATTAATATACAAAATTCTTAAACACAGAAAAGACTAAATAGTACTTCACAAAACTATATATCGCTCTCAAACCATTCACAGCCAACAAAGCCGACTGCTTGGTCACGCCGCCAATATTTGTCGCCACACAGCTAAAACTGCCCGCATGACGCGCACGTACCGACTCGATGCTGAGTACGCTAATGCGTTGACTAGTGCGTGTGACAACTAAACCATCGTTGGTAAAGACGCGTCCGCCATTCCGCGTCCAATAAATATCCAGCGGCAGATCGCCCTTTTTAACGCTGCAGTAAGCCGAAACCATATCCATTTCATTGATGCTCTCATCACCAAAATCGAAGGGTAATATTTGTGGTAGGACTGGGGTAGGGTAAACGTAGAGGCGATTGGTAGAAAAGTAAAGATTGAATTAAAAAATGTATACTTGATAAATATATCTCAAAGAAGCAGAGAATTATTTTGTATAGCGTTTGTATTTTAACCATTCACGGCGAGTAACGCCGACTGCTTGGTTACGCCACCATTATTTGTCGCCACGCAGCTGTAATTGCCGGCGTGACGTGCGCGTACCGATTCGATGCTGAGTACGTTAATGCGTTGACTATTGCGTGTCACTACTAAACCGTCATTCGTGAATACGCGTCCTCCATTGCGCGTCCAATAAATATCCAGCGGTAGATCGCCTTTGTTTACTGTGCAATATGCTGACACCATATCCATTTCATTAATATTTTGTGCGCCGAAATCGAAAGGCAAGATTTGTGGTAGGACTAAGTTGGCGGGTGGGTTAGGAAATAAATCGCAAAAAAATTATAATAAAATAGAAAAGTACTACATTTATTAAAATCAATTTATAACGCTCTCAACCATTCACCGCCAACATGGCGGATTGTCGTGTTGCGCCCGCATTGTTTGTCGCCACACAGCTATAATTGCCCGCATGACGTGCGCGTACCGATTCTATGCTTAAAACACTTAACCGTTGGCTATTTCGTGTGACAATCAAACCATCGTTCGTATAGACTCGTCCGCCGTTTTTCATCCAATATATATCGATTGGCAGGTCACCTTTATTGACTGTACAAGAGGCCGAAACCATATCCTGTTCGTTGATGCGCTCCTCGCCGAAATCGAAAGGCACAATTTGTGGCAAAACTGCATGAGTGGAGGGGAATGAAAGTACGCAAGTGGGAAAAGGAATGCAACTGTGTTAGCGCAAATTAAATTATAAAACAATAAAAAGTAGCAAAATCACTAATGTAAATCGCTCTAACTCTACAGCTAACCATTAACCGCCAGCACAGCCCAATGCGTGGTAACACCAGCGTTATTTGTCGCAACGCAGCTAAAATTGCCAGCATGACGCGCACGCACCGATTCGATACTCAGAACGCTCATGCGCTGACTAGTTTTGGTAACGACCACACCATCGTTCGTGTACACACGTCCGCCATTCTTTGTCCAAGCGACATCTATCGGCAAATCGCCTTTATTAACTGTACACGACGCCGATACCATGTCCAATTCGTTAACGCTCGCCTCACCGAAGTCGAAGGGCACAATTTGTGGCAGAACTTATGAGTTGTTACAGAGATTAAAGCGAAATATGGGTAATTTTATAAAAAAAATTAGGAATTTGGTAAAATTTCGAGACTACAAAATAACATTCGAACTTTTAATGCATTTTGTTATCTTTCTTATGTATATAATAGAGCTTGCAACTTCATTAAAACATTACACATCACAGGGAACAACGGTGCTTAAATTACTGAGAAACCCAAAATGCTTAAGAACCCAAAAAAGTAAAACTAATCGCCTACAAAATTCTTAAAATCTTTAAATTTATTTGCTAGATTTTCTAAAACTCTTTTATCGACGAACCATTGACACTCAGCTCAGCGGTGTGATAGGCCTCGCCGGCCGCATTTCGCGCAACACAAGTATAGTTCGCACGATGACGCGCATGTACCGACTCTATGCTCAACATGCTAATACGTTGTGTTGTTTTTGTTATTAGTATACCATCGTTGGTCATTAATTTGCCCGAACCACCTAGTTTAGGATCCGGCGCTGTAGTCCAATGCAAATCGATCGGTGTATCGCCTTTATTGACAGTGCATGTGGCCGAGACCATATCATTCATGTTGATCGCATCTTCACCGAAATCGAAGGGCACAATTTGTGGCGGCACTAATTAGTGAATGAAAGGGGATAAAGTGTTACCAATATATTGCTTTACTGGAGAACACGACAAACCCACGTTGATAATCACTTAAAAGTGAGTATTTTACCTCAATACCTTAGCAAATTGTTCAGCGAAAAAAAAAAATTACCAGTTGTGTGTAAGGACGAAGCAGTTCTTAGCAGACGGCTTGCTTTTAAGGTAGCAATTGAGAGTTTAGCGGACGGAATTTTTGGACTGCTTCGCCGTTGCACTGCTATACCGGTTTTTGTATTGTAATTGGATCATTTTCACGTTAAACGGTACAGGCAAATGATCAATAAACTGTATGAAACTTACCCATAACTTGTACTTCTAGTGAGCCGCGCGCTGAATAACCTTCGGCATTCTTAGCTACACAAGTGTAGGTCGCTTGATCGGAATTACGTTCCACATTCTCAATTATCAAAGTGCCATTGGGGAAGACCTTCTGTTTGCGGTTGATCGGTAAAGCGCGATTATCTTAAAAAAATATGACGACATATTAGCGAATACTACGCACAAAACCACTTAACTACAACTCACCACGTTCCCAAACGATCGAATCAATGGGATAGCCTGCTACGGGACAGGTAACAATTAAAGTCTCACCCGCTACAATAGCTTTCTTTTCCATTTGACGAATGTAGGGTAAACCGTAGACATTCAATTTCGCCGAGTGTTCAGCTACGCCAACTTTGCTCTTAGCTATACACTTGTAGAGACCGCCGTCGTTCGCATGTACAGATGTTATATTCAAATAGGAGACAACATCACCATTTACTGTCACATATTGACCAACTTGGTAACGATCAATATTTGCGATTTTCTTGCCATCGAGTTCCCATGAGATTTCAGGTGTTGGATTGCCGCCAGCTACACACTTGAGGAAGACGCTTGGTCCAGGTTCCATTGTCTCTTCTTGAAATGCCTGTCGTATGACAGGTGGATCAAAACGTCCACCTAATTTCAATTCAGCACTCGCTTCCGCAGATTCTTGATCATTGCGCACAAAACACTGATACATGCCCTTATCTTCCTTCTTCACTGATTCGATGCGTAATACCTGATCGCTATGTCCAATCGATTTGCCATCCTTCAACCAACTGATAGTCTTAATTGGGTTACCAATATATTGGCAGGTGAATACAGCTGGGCGGCCGAAATCAATAGTTTGTGTGGGTGGATCGATTTTCGCTGACAGTGGTGCGGTCACAGTGAGCACAGTTTCCACGCTTTCGCCGCCAACTGAGTTATTGACTACACACAAATATTTGCCAGAATCTTCGACCACAGCATCCTTAATAATCAAGGTGCCAGAAACTTGTTTAACGCGCTCATTTAGTATAACGGCTTGTTTGCGTGTGGTGCCTTCAATGAACTTATACCATCTGTAATAGAGAATGGAGTGTTACAAAAAAATTAACATAATGTAAAATTGCACACGAAGATGGTTAAAAATGAAAAAATCAAATGAAATGCTATGCTATGCTATGCGCTGTGTTGTTTGCATTGGTGATCAAATAAAATTGTTTTCTAAGCCCATCGAATGAGATGAAAGTTACGAAAGCTTCAACAAAATTGAATATGAAGCTAGAGGTAAATTTTGAAAGCAACAACGAACATGTTTAGCATGAATTACGTACAGGAACGATATACCCACCTTAGAGTTAAGCGTTGAACTAAGTACTTACCTTACGGATTTTGTTGCATAACTTAGCATTTCATTTCAATTTTTTTTTTTCATTTTTAACCAGCTTTTTTTTGAAAACTTGCTTTTAGGACCGTCGATAAAGCCTAGTACGACCTAACGAAAAGGAACATACATTAAAAAATCGTCGACGAGATCATGAATAATCAGCTATATAAGTTAGACTGTGCTCTAAGGGCTTTGAGAGAATTTATGAAGACCGTAAAAATTTCTACTCAAGCAGGAATATAAAGTATCCGTCTACTCTAAAAACTGGAAACTTTTGAGTAAAGTATTTTCAGAAACTCATAGAACTCAAGAGAAGATAGACAAATTATAATTTTCGCCGAGTTTAAGATGATGGGATATTTTTGCAAAAGTGTATTAGATATCTGCACGAAGAAGTACCCTTAAAATTTTTTTCTCAAATATGTACCTATAAACTGGCACTGGATAGCCCTGACCTGGACAATGACCAACAAAAGTAGCGCCCAAAGGCACCTCATTAATCTCAATACTTTTAATAGCAATGCGTGGCTTTACGTGACCCACGGGTTCTAAAAAGAAAAAAAATCAGGAGACACAAAGGAAATATATCGCATAAACTACCTGAATTGTTTCAAATAATATTACCTAAATAACGGCATTGGATATGCTTGAGCCTGACAAAGTATGGCAAAACTGGCGCCAAGACGCATTGTAAGTTCTTGCAGACGATCACCGGAAACGGTTGGTGCGACGCTGCCAATAGGCTCTGGTAGAAAAAAAAAAATGTTTACCCTTTTTCAAAAAAAAGTTAAATATATCAAAAATGAAGGAGAAACCGCCTGATGTTTGATAGTATGTATTTAGACACCGGTTTGGCAGGGATCTAGAAAGTATACTCTAAACTTTTCTGACTAAAAATTTAAAACTGTTCTCAAATCTCATCTTTTATTTTTACCGAAAAACAGGTGTTGGGTAGGATTGTCCTTGACAGAGCATAGTCACGCTATAGCTAGCCTCCATAGTCACTTCTTGCAGACGACCACCCGAAATTTTGGGTGCTACACTGCCAACGGGTTCTATAGAGAAATGAAACTAAGTTTAAAAGCTTTTCGCAAACTTTTATTTTTTTATAAAGAGATGATACTTAGTGTTTCGAGAGTATTTTTTCATTGAAAACTGTCTGAGAGTCAACATTTGAAATGTGCAATAAAAACTGTTTAGATATTTGAATTCTCTGAACTGCTAATATTAAAAAATTTTCAACATATGCTTTTCTATAAAACTAACCTTATTATAGGTACGGGAAAGCCTTGTGCTTGACACAATAGGGCAAAACTCTGTCCGATTTCTTTTACAAATGTAAAACTTTTAGATTCACCAGAGAATGTAGGAGCTTTTGCGCCAACAGGCTCTATAAGTGATACAAAAATGTATGCATTGTATATGAGATAATAAAACCCTTTGTTGGGAAACTAGTTATGAATAATTTTGTTTTTAGAACTTTTTCATTGAACCTGTTTTAAATAACCAAAAAAAAATTTGTGTAAACTATATTCTGTACTTTTAACTACCTTATAACAGGAACAGGCCATGCTTGAGCTTGACACAACAGAGCAAAACTTTGACCAAATTTGCGCGAAAATGTAAAACTTTTCAAGTCATTCGAAAATGTAGGAGCTTTTGCGCCAACAGGTTCTAAAAAAGTTGGGTTATAACAAAAATATGGTATATAAAAAAAAATTTTAATAATTTTACAGAACCAGTTAGTAGTGTCGCGGGCCCCTTAGAGCAAATCACATATGTATATGTATATGTCTAAGCAATGGTTACCAATACCTTATTATCGGCACCGGAAAAGCTTGAGCTTGACACAGAAGTGCAAAGCTGTGTCCTACCGCTCGTATATAGGAGAAAACAATTGAGTCCGTTGAGAAGGTAGGAGCCTTAGCGCCTACAGGTTCTACAAAAATATAATGAAAAGCAAATGATGATTACTATTTATATCTAAACGAATGTATGAAACGAGCTTTCGTGTAGCAAAGGAAAACTGCCTACATTGCAATGCGAAATTAAAAGAAAAAGTTTACTTCGATAAGTAGGTACCTAAACAATGGCACGGGATAGGCTTGAGCTTGACACAGGAGCACTAAATCTTTGCCTTGAGCTTCCACAAAAGTGCTGCTTTTCGCTAAGTTGGGAAAAGCGGGCGCTTTAGCACCAAGTGGTTCTTGAAAATGAGAAAAATATAAAATGTAATAAATATTGTCTAAGATCATGAAAACTGCCTGCTGGGAGCTTTCAAACAATTTTGAATAAACATGTGTAATAAACAGCTTAAAGCTCTTTACCTAGATAAAGGCACCGGATACGCCTGAGCTTGGCACAACAGCACAAGATCTTTGCCTTGTTTCTCAAGAAATGTGCCACTTTTTAAAGCGGTTGGAAATGCCGGAGCTTTGGCACCAAGTGGTTCTTTAAAAATCAAAATTAATTATCTAAATATTTAATATAATTTTTTATAGAAAACTAGCTGTGCGAATATTGCCTGAATATCTTGGAATGAAAGAAGCTTTAAGTCATTGAAATATCGTTACCTTGTCACCGGCACTGGAAAGGCTTGAGCTTGACATAAAAGCACTATGTCACTGAAAATTTTACCCATAAGTGTGCTTATTTTCGAAACGGTGGGAAAGGAGGGAGCTTTAGCACCAACGGGTTCTATGAATATAAAAGTACTTTTATTACAATATATAAAACATTAACAAAATCAGTATATTTGAACAATTGAGAACTGCCAAAAATATTTAAATATACATAAAGGTCCTTTACATTTAATCTCTATATTTTCTGTATTTTTTAATAGATAAATCGAAGCAAAACTAACCTTATTATAGGCACTGGAAAAGCTTGAGCTTGACAAAGCAAAGCAAAGCTCTGCCCGACACAGCGTGTATATGAAAATGAGCTCGAATCGGTGGAGAAAGTGGGAGCTTTAGCTCCAACGGGTTCTAAAAATTTTAATTTGTAAAATACTACATTTGGAAATTAATTATAACATGAAAACTGCCTGAATACCAAAAGAATTTTAACTCTAAAGCCTTTTATTTTTACGCTTTACCGTATAATTGGTACAGGAAAAGCTTGTGCCTGACATAAAAGCGCAAAGCTAGAATTCACTGAGCGTACAAAAATGCTACCCTTGGAATCACTTGAGAATGTTGGTGCCTTAGCGCCGACAGGCTCTAAAGATAGAAGAAAAGACAACAAGATTTCAAATCATACGATTATAGGTAATAATTAACAAAATCGGTTGGCAGGTGTCACGTTGAATGATCCATGATTTTTGTGCATTAATCAATTAAAATAAATTTAAAAAAAGCTATTGAATTAGCAGTTTAAAATCTATGTTTTCTTTAACCTTCACGTAAAACGATTTAATTTCCGATCTTTTTGTTTCCAATATTTAAATATAAATCCTTTTATTTTTCATTCTTACCTAAAAATAGGTACCGGAAAAGCTTGAGCTTCACATATCATGGCTAATGTACTACGACTAGGTGCATAAATAGTGAACGTGCTGGCAACACTTGGAAATGCAGGTGTTTTAAAACCCACGGGTTCTAAATATAATTATCGATATATGCGATTAGAAATCTAAATTTGATGAACATTGAAAGTTGATGCTGAATGTTGGGTTTTGTTTATAGTGAATTTGAAAAATCCAAATTTAAAGGTATTGTTCCTATATTTTATAAAATGCATTATTCTCACCTAAACACGGGCACTGGAAATGCTTGAGCTTGACAAAGAAGCGCTAGAGTGGAGTATATGGGTGCTCGGCTGGAAAATGTTTGTACCTCACCGGAGAAGGCAGGGGCCTTCGAACCAATTGGCTCTGAAAAATATGTATTATGTGAAAGCGGAAATGAAGTTCGAATACTGAAAAATGTTTTCCTGAATGGTGGGTGATATAATGCGTATAAGGTAAACTGTTTTATTTTTCGATTTTTCTTAAGCCATTGGGCTCTTTAACATTAAAAAAAATGTAAAAGAGTATCCAAAGAAATAAGATTCTGCACTGGAAACAATTGTGTTAATTAATTTTATAACCCTTCTAAAAGGGAGCACTCAGAAACTTTTTCATGCCAGAAATACGCTCGAAGATTTTCTGAGTAAATATTGTTCTTTATATCTTGAACAAATTGAATGAACAAGGTACCTACACGAAATTTGGCTTATATATATATATATTATTATTCAAAACAGCACTATAAGCTACGAACAAATTGTTCAGATCGGACATATGCTATATGCTGCCGTACAAACTGACCGATCAAAATGAAGATCTATTAATACACTTTGTGTCCAACGAGCAACTGGTATAAATGCAGTTTATTTTTTCCATTACCTTATTACGGGTACTGGATAAGCCTGCGCTTGACACAGCAGCGCAAAGCCAGTGTGCTCTTGCTTTTGCACTTCAATTAATTTATACTCCAGCGAAAATGTTGGGGGTTTAGCGCCGACAGGTTCTAAAAATGCGCATAATTATAAGGCTTACTTATTGCACTTGAACATTCGAAGAAATATGTATAAAAATTTATTTTGTAATTGCTATTGAAAACTGCCACCTTTTTAACGGTATATTCTTTACTATTGTACAAGTATTTTCCGAAAATTATTTTGATCGAATTATAGATTTTGCTAGCCTTGACCTAAGCTCAAGGTTTTTATTTATGCTTGTTTCATATAATTTTAGCCTGACCCAGTTTACGCTTAAAACTAGAGCGTCCGACCCATGAACTTGAATATGTTAAATAGCAATATCAATTGAGGTCAAATAACAAGGTTAAACAACGAACAAAAACGAGGCAACCAATCAGCTTGACTATATGAAAAGGAGTAAAACAACAATGAAGCAACAAAACACAAGCGAAGGTAAGGCTGTTACCCCCTTATAAGGTCAATGTCAATTGCATGTACATAGTATGTATGTATGTATATGGGTTAAAATAACACTAGCAACACAAATGTCAAAACTATAAACGGAAAGTGACAATTGAACGGCAAATGGCAAGAGATAGATGGTTAAATTGCGCGCGTATTTGTAAATACATGAAAGTGAAGATACAAGAAAAATGCTGGTAGTTGTTAAAAAAAACAACTACAAAAATATGTATATATACAATATATGTGTGACTTTCCTACGAACATACACGACGACCGTAACAGCAACTAGTGGCGCACAAGCAAACGCTGCCATCATATCGGTAAGAAGTCGATGACCCAAAAACGTGACCCGACGATTACCCACAGCGCAGCAAAGACTTACAGTGATGCGACTCGCTGCGGCGGACGACGGTTCGATTCATTCATAAATAGCTGTGTAGAGCAGCGTGCACGTTGAAAAGTGACAACAGCAACAATTGTAATTTCTATTGCCATTACGCTCTAGCGTGCGCACGCAGAAAACCAGTTTTACATTCACTTTTGTCTGCAGTTTCTAAATAGAAAAACGTAGTCAAAACAAAATTACAAAAACAGTTCGCGGCAGTAACGGGCGGTAAGCAGTGTGTAAGCGAGATGACTGCTGACTGTTTACGAATACGGTGAGCAAAACACATAAACACCGAGTAGGGGTAATTGTTATGGGAAATTTTTGACGCGTAGCGCACATGCGCATTGTCCGCGTGCATTATGTGAAAGGGACAGTAAGTGGCATGCCACCGTGCGAGTGCGTCAACTGATATGCACCATCGAACAGCTGTGCATGTATGAACGACTTGTTTAATGACACACATTTACGAGGCGCAAATATACTACAAATCATGTTGTTGCTGTTTTTGGTACGGCGGTGGTGTGTTTTGTGGTATGGTTTTGTAAACAAAAGCGTACATATTACGGCTTTTGTTTTTTTTGTGTGACTTCAAACGGAGCCGTTGCATTTGGTAGATATTATTATTTTTTTTACTGGTTTTATTCTGTTTTTACTTTACGCTTGCATTTGGGCTTTGTTTACTTTTGCTTTTGTCCGACTTTATCTGTGCAGACAGCCTCTAAAAGCCACTGTGGGCGGCTGTCATACAGCCATCGACACTATACTCACATATATTCTCATGAATATGATGTATGTATTCGTATATATAAATATGCTTGTATACTTATTCCACATTGCCGAGCGCTTATTTTATGTTGTGATTGTAAATCATGAATGAATATAACGAACGACTTACTTGACATTTTCCAAGCTAATACTCTTTAATTATTATTTTTTTTTATCAGAATGTGCGAATTTGCTTAATTATAACAAATCGCTAGAAGTTGACTAAACTCATACACATCAATATTTTACGGCTGCTGAACCACTACGTGCTCATTGACAGCAAATCTAAATAACACTGACTTTCGATAATCGATAACTGTTGCCGTGCGCTAATACATTTCGACAGTTTTTACTCCATTGTATTTAAAAAATGAACGAAAGTCTCACTAAATTTACTAAACATTTATTTTTGGCTATATCTAACCTATAAGCCGGCACTGGATATGCCTGCGCCGGACAGAGTATAGCAAAACTAACATTTTGGCGTCGCTCAATACCCGACCATTTGATATCAACGGATAATGTAGGCGCTTTTGCGCTGATAGGCTCTATGAATAAAATTATCAAACAAAAATTTACCAACATAAATAAATATAATAAATGGCAAAAATGCATTTTGCACCTGAATGTTGGCACTGGATATGCCTGCGCTGGACAAAACATGGCTAAATCACGTCCCTGCATGCGCTCGTTCCATGAGCGACGCATGTCGTGCGAGAGCAATGTTGGCGCTTTACCGCCAACGGGTTCTAAATTGTCAGAATTAAAAACATTATTATTATTTATTTAATAGAAAATTCAGCTACGGCTTTCGAATGTTGTTTATGCAACGCAAACCCACGTCACATAAAAGTATGACGCAAGCAAACTGCCTGAAGTGGTTTGAAATTCGTACAACTAACCTGGTTTATTGATTTACTTAAAAATAAATACAACGGTCTTTATACTTATTTGTAATTATTTGCAAACTAATCACCGAAAATTTGGCGCTGGATAACCCTGTGCCGGACAGAGCAACGATAAATCGCTGGCGGCGCGTAACTCCAAGGGTTTTTGCACTAGGGATGGTGTACGAGGCGCGATGCTTGAAATTGGCTCAAAAATGTTTATATCAAATGGTTAACAGAGAGCTTTTAAATGCTGTATGAATGTTGGGACTGTGAGCGGCCATATTATTATTATTATTATTAAACATTTCTCTTTCTGGCATATATTGCCGTAATATGTTGTCACAACTGAATCTATGTGCTTCAATTCTATAAAAATACATATTTCAAAATATATTTCTAAATCTAAAATTTACACCATTCCCATTTAATGTGCATTACCGAAAATTGGGTGCCGGAAAGCCCTGCGCTGGGCAAAGCAAAGACACACTACTTCCATGCGCCATATTTAAAGGTTTGCTCATTATTGAAGGTATGCGCGGAGCAGTGCTTGAAACTGGTTCTAAAATTTATATATAATATAATAAAACCCTAATTAAATTTTGTAATTTATGTTAATACAAAAATTTATTTAATGTTGTAAACTGTCTGAATGATTTTTTGGGGTTTAAAATAATATTTTCTGAACAAACCCCGTCTGTATTAACTGAAATAAAATCGAATCAGAAAAATAAGAATTGCTAACCTAAAACTAGGTGCTGGGTAGCCTTGTGCCGGACAAAGTATTGCTGTTTCGGCGTTCGACTCCACAGTATTTGGTTTATAGGTGAGCGCATTAATTTTTGGTGGCGAACTAGAAACAGGTTCTGCAAGAGTGCAAGCACAGATATATGTATTTTTTCGTAATGCATAATTAACAAACATTTCCCTAGAAATCAAATATTTAAAGAGTTATATCCACCTGAATTTCAAGAAATCGTTTTTTCGAAGATACATAGGTATACTACTATTAGAGAATCTTCGTTGGTAATTTGAGGTTGACTCGGCAAATAGTTTTGGAGATATGAGTGTATTTGTAAGAATTTTTTAACATAATATAATCAACTTCCAAAATTTTAAACGCGTTTTTCAGGAACGCTGTTTTTGAAGACGAAAAAGCTGGAGCGGTTAGCTTAAAATTTTCACACGACCTTCTTGAATATATTTGTCAGGCAACGCTCAAGGAATAAGATTTTCCATAATAATTTCGGAGTTTTAAGCCACCCTGATTGATTTAAGAAGAATTTCAATTTTTAAAGCACTATTTTTATTATTTTTATTATATTTTATTTTTACAATTGTGCCTAGTATATAAAAACAATATACTAACAAACAATTCTGAAGCAAAATTTTTTTCAGGAAAAACGACTTTTTGGGTCATTTGATCATTTTCTAATATTTTTTTTTTTGATTCGAGATTATTTTAAACAGAAAAATCTTCCTCATCTCAGAGCCCTTTTTTCGGGACAGCGAATCCAAATTTTCAAAGATGAATCAACAATTATTAAAACACATTAATTTTTGCAATGTACGTTTTTCAATTGGTAAATAAAATGTCTCTTCAAAAAACGTGTTTTTTCTCACTTAAAGGTGGATATAACCTTATACATTGATATACATAAGTTATTAGAAAAAAACTGCCTGAAGTCTCCATATTAGAAAGAATAGGTTTACTAATTTCTTTGTTTCTTCCAATTTTTTAAACTCTGCTTCTTTGCTTACCGAAAATTTGGCGCTGGGTAGCCTTGTGCAGGGCATAAAATGGAAATGCTTGAGTAGTGAGCCACACTTAATGGGCGTGCACTAACCGGTGGCACCTTGGGTGCCGTACTGGAAACGGGTTCTGAACAAATAATCATATTTGTTTAAATATTTATGTAAAATTTATTAAAAAATCTCAATGAAAGCAATATATAGAAATATTTTATTGAAAAACTGCATGAATGTCATAAAAGTTTTGGTTCAAAAATTGCTTGACCTTTTTAATGCTTAACAATTTCTTAAAAAATGCTTAAAGAACAAATTAATTAGCGAATTAAAAAAATGTACCTAAACACCGGTACTGGGAATCCTTGCGCGGGACACAATAACGCAAAAGTACTACCCAAATAATAGCTTTTTACATCGAATTTGGAAAGTGAGGATACCTTTGGTACTGTACTGCTCACCGGTTCTAAAAAAATACAATTATTTAAATAATTGATGATTTTTTATAAAAAAAAAACTTATATGGAAAACTGCCTGAAGTGAACTTTAAGCTTTTCGTACTATTAAAACATATAGATAATTTGCTTCAAATGTGAGCTTTTGAGAATAGTTGCAAAAATATGAAAAAGACTCCGCAATACACGATAAAGTTAATATCAGATCAGAGAAACCCCAATAAGGCCCAGCTAAGTCAGTTCCTATCTTTACGGCCTGCTAAAGATTTGGCACTGCTGGGGATATTGGGAATTTTTCCCTCCTACAATGGATTAGAAACGCAACGCGTAACGCTCTTATT